AAATGAAAATAGGTAAAGTTAACAAAATATTAAAATTAAACTAATATAATATCTTCATTGTATGAAGATTTTGCTTTGTGCTTAAAAAGATCAAAACAATACATAAACATATAGATAAGATGTAACTATGATTTGATATTATACAGTTATAGTAATTAATTTCAAACAACATTGATTTTCAAATGGAAAAAAAAAGGTAATAGACCTAAAACATTTAGGAGATTTAAATTCACACAACCTTTTGGACCCAAAGTTCCTGTTGATATAAATAGTCCAATTGATATTTTTAAACTATTTTTTGATGATGATATTCTACATACTTTCAAGACTCAATCTGAATTATATGCTGCTCAATGTAATCAAAAATTTTTTACTTCAGTTGAAGAATTACAAGCGTTTTTTGGCTGTCTCATCATAATGGGATTTCATAAATTACCTACAATTCGTTGTTACTGGTCAACCGATGCCAATTTTCAAGTTCCAAGGATATCATCTATTATGTCATTAAAAAGATTTCTATCTATACTACGGTTTCTCCATTTAAATGATAATTTGAGTATGCCTAAACGGGGACATGTTAATTATGACAAATTATACAAAGTGCGACCGCTGATCAACAAACTAAATGAAAAGTTTTTTTCAAATTTTAACCCATCTAGAAATATTGCTATAGATGAAAGTATGGTTGCTTTCAAGGGAAGAACTACAATTAAACAATATATGCCACTTAAGCCAATCAAACGCGGAATAAAAGTTTGGGCAGCTGCATGTTCTAAGACTGGATACCTACTACAGTTTGAAGTATACCAAGGCAAGCAAGGAGATCCAGAAATTGGCCTAGGAGAAAAAGTTGTAACACATTTAGCTAATCTTTATGATAACAAAGGCTATTGTTTTTATTTTGATGGGTTTTTCAGTAATATTCCCATGGTGAAAAGTATGGTTGAGAAAAATAATTTTGCATGTGGTACTATCAAATCAAATAAAAAATATTTTCCATCTGGTGTTCTAAAAGATGACAAAGAACTAAAACAAGGTCAGTTTGATGTAGTTACTTCTAATGAAATAACTATAAGTAAATGGAAAGACAGAGGAAAAAAGTGTGTAAATGTAATAAGTAATATGCATGGTGGCAGTTGTATTGGTTCTGTTTATAGAAGAGATAATCTAGGAGTTAAACAAGTTGTGAAGGCTCCAGCTGCTATTGTAGACTATAATAAGTATATGGGGGGTGTCGACCATTTCGATCAGTTTCATTCTTACTACAATGTGGCCTGGAAGTCCAGAAGATGGTGGCTAAAAATATTTTATTATCTTCTAGATGCTTGTATAGTAAATTAATTTGTGCTATATCAAACAACAAGTAATCTCCATGACCCAAAGTTATCAAAATTTACACACCTAAATTTCAGATCAACATTAGCAAATCAATTAATTGGTGATTATTCTTCAAAAAAAAAAACCGGGTATTCAAAAGTCAATGCAAAGAAAATTGACAAAAAAAACTGGAAAAGTGATTGTTGGCAACCAATATTATCTTCAAAATGTTGGTGATCATTTACCAATCAAAGGAACATATCGTCGCTGTGGATATTGTAGTTCTAAAGAGACACAGAAACGTTCAAACATCATTTGCAAAATGTGTGATATTGCACTTTGTTTAGAATGTTTTTCACCCTTCCACAAAAACCCCTAAAACACTATTTTGTTGTATACTATTCATACAATTTTATTAAAAATGTAGCCATGCTTGAAATATTTTATATTATTATTAATTTTATTTTATTTTTTTAATTTTCAAAATGGCAAGGTTATTTTGATGTATACTATTCATACAATTTTATTAAAAATGTAGCCATGCTTGAAATATTTTATATTATTATTAATTTTTTTTTTTTTTTAATTTTCAAAATGGCAAGGTTTTGTGACGTATTTACTCCTACTTTGTTGGTTGTATTTATTTATTAAGTTTTTTATTAAGTTAATTTAATATTGAATTTATAAAGTCTGAATAATATGTTATAAGTTTATAATATGTATTTGTTATTTCTTTTTATATTTATTAGTTCAAGTTTTACTATTTTGTTTATTACTATGTACACATATTTATTACAAAAGTACTTAGGTTTGAAAATGTTGTAGCTCTGTTTTTTTTTT